TTTTTACTTAATCCCTGCACAGCTTTAAGTGTAGAAATCTGTATCGACTCCCTTTTCTGAAATTAACTTCTCGCCTTGTGATCGTCAGATGTCTGGAAAGAAGCTGAAAAACCCAACATTAACCACTCGCATTTCAAATGGCTTGAAATTATCCTCCGCAATAATTTATCACTGCAGCAGGACGAGAATAGCTGCCGGAGGAAGATGGACTCTTCTAGACGACAGGGGGTGAAGGATGGAGCGGAGACTCACCGCCTGGGCAGAGGAAGTGTTGGTGGTGTAGTCTTCCCTCGAGGGCAGAGACAAGGACACCTGGTCGAGCTGCGGAAAGACAAAGAGCACGGATTCGCTTCTGCTGCTTTTTAGACTTTTGAATCTCATGACATCAACTCATGCAAAGGTATAAAAAACATATATAATGCATGCATGTCGTGTAATAACAGATCACGATAAACATGCGTCCACATAAACAAAGACAATCGTGTGGATATCCGACCTTGATGATGTACTTTGAGGAGTTTTTGTCGTCAGGGGAGACGTACAGGCGAATCAGGACGCTCTTGCTGTGCTGGTTCCTCATCTGTGCCAGAGTCTTCAGGAGGTTCCACCGACCTGCCGACCACTCGTACTCGCCGCCGAGCCCGTCCCCGACGACGGGCCAACGGAACTCTGGCTGTCTGAGCGTTTTCAGCATGGGTTTGGTGTCCATCTTCTCCAGCAGGGCTTTGTGAAGACGGCACAAATTAGATTTAGGTTAGTGTGAGCGCGCGCGCGGGGGAGGTGGGGGGATGGGGCTGGAGAAGATGTTAGAAAACGACGGTCCCCAAAGGTGCCGAACAAAGATTTGTGTTGGCGAGAGAAATCCAAGTTGATGTGTGTCAGACTCACTCTCGTTCATGCAGGAGCGGTAGAGGATCTTAGCTTTGGTCACTGCCTCCAGTTCATCAGGGTCGGATGGAGCTTCCAGTAACTCTAATAAGAAACGATGTGATGGTCATTATAACACTTATGATTGTGAAGAAATCTTTTGGGAGAGGCACTCGGAGAACGCCACTTTGCACATCCATGAGTAGAGATCACGTTAAATCCGGATCCACACTAAATTTCCTCTGTTCGTAGACATTAGCACTCTACATATCCTACGTTTCATAAATCTGGCTCAAAAGTTAACAAGTTCTTCCAAGCTCATACCTCACTCTGTACTTGTTGAACATGTGCATCAGTGGGACCTCAATACTGCAGTTCTACTCCACAAATCAATACTGCACGGACGTCATAAAGACAAGATGGCAGCAGCCGTCCTCCATCTTCATTCACCTTTGAGTTGGATGTCGACGTGCTGCCGCAGCCAGGGGTAGATGCCGTACGAGGAGGAATCCTCGGGGATGGGATTCTCCCTCAGCCAACCTCCACAGGAAAAACTGTAGAAGTCCTCACAGGGGTCGACCGCCCGATCGATTTTATTGAGAATAGACCCGGCTACAGGAGGGAGGAGACAAATAAACGTTGGACACTTCTGAAACATCTCGTGCTTGACAAACACCGGCGGCAGCTCAGACACTCCTCACCTGCCTCGATGCATTCTGGCGTCAGACAGAACTCCTCCTGACTGGACTTCTGGGAAACTGAGGGAAGAGGAAAAGAGTGGAAGGATGAAGGGTGACAACGTAAAGTCTGCTGTGACTCATGGAGCTGTGTTATTCTGGTTGCATGCACGTCTATATACAGTACACCCCCCCCCCTGAAACCACATAAACGTACGAGTCTGCTGGTGACACAATCATCTTTCCAAGAACAACTCCACTGTGGAAACTTTATGTGGAAGTTGACAAAACCACATGTGACCCCAGGAAAGTTGAAAAAGCAAAATAAAAAAACCAAAAAACACCTTTTCAGGAAAATTCAGGTGATATTTGATATATTTGATATATTTAAAAGTGACATGGATCATTAAAAAGTGTTTGACAGACCCCGAACCTCCTGAACTGAGACTCAGCTTCTGTCTCGTTTATTGCTTTAATTGAGAATTAACAGAATTAGCTTCCTAAAGTTTCTTCTTCCTTCATTGTAATCACCGGTTTTATTCATTCTCTCCTCTTCCTCCAAAGTGGGAGTCACAGATTTAGAAAAAACAACCCCCGCCCATTGAGAGCTAATGAGTGGAGCGCTCAGGGACCTGAGTCTGACCTCTGAGGTTGACCGGTCTGCTGGGCTCGTTCACGCTGAGCCCACTCGTAGTGACAAATGCGCACGCGCACAACTTCAACCCTGTGCGACCCACTTGGCCTGGAGCAACCTCACAACGCCCCCTCACACTCACACACACACACACACACACACACACA